CTGTAAGGAACTTTTATAACTCAGTGATAAGAACCCTGAAATTAAAAAAAAAATCACATTTATTTGATGTATTTGAGTGTTTTGCCTGTAATGGTGCATGAATTCAGAAGAGAGTGTTGGACCCCTTGGGGCAGTCGTTACGGTTGGTGGTGAGTCACCTTGTGAGTTCTGAGAATCAAACCTGGGTCCTCTCTACAAGAATAGCCAGTGCTCTTTACTGCTGATCCATCTCTCCAGCCCTAAAGATTTATTTTGTGTGAATGAGTGTTTTGTCTGCATGTGTATCTGTATACTAACTGTGTTCATGGTGACTGTGGAGGCCAGAAGAGGGTGTCAGATTCCCTGGAACTAGAGTTATGGATGGTTGTCAGTCACAGTGTGGGTGCTGACAATTGAACCCAGGTCTGGAAGAACAGCCAGTGCTCTTAACTCCTGAGTTAACTTTTCAGCTCTGCTTAAAAAAAAAAAAAAAAAAAAAACTAACAAAAACAACAACAAACAAACAGCAAACTAAATGTGTATTTTAGCATGGAAGAATAGATATACTTTTGCAAAAGCTACCTTCCTTTCCATCTACAGGAGTGGTTTTTCCTGTTAGATACTATACTTAAAGTGTTAAATTAGCAAGGCACTGAGTCATCTGCTAAATTTGCACTGATACTACTTGTTCTTAAAAATAATCCTTTGTCTTGTTTAGTATTAGGCCAGTAATATTACCTCTTAGTGGCTGGACTTTAGTTGACATTTCTTCTCTTCTCACAAATGTTTAGAAACATGGCTTTTCCTTTCTGTGAGAATTAATAAAAATTTTGGTAATATTGAAAGTAGCATTTCTACTTAGAGTTAATTGTTAAATAGTATTAACAGAATCAATCTCTTATGTCATTTTAGAAAACTGTGATGGCACATGCCTTTGATCCCAGTATTTAGAAGGCAGAGGCAGGCAGATCTCTGTGATTTCCAGGCCAGCCTGGTCTTCACAGAAAGACCCTGTCTCAAAATAAAATATAAGGGACTGGAGAGATGGTTCCGAGTTTAGGAGCACTGGCTGCTCTAGCTTCTATTCTAAGTACCCACATAGTTGCTCACAGCTACCTGTAACTCGTCTCCAGGGGATCCGAAACCCTTTTCTTGTTTGTGCGGGCAAGATAAATATGTGGTGCACAGACATATATGCAGGCAGAACAACTACACACACACATCCTAGAGAGGGACATCAGATTCTTTAAATACTGGGTTTGTCAACTAAGCAAACATTGTTTCCTATTATTACCAGTGCCTAGTGTAATGGGTATTTATAAATAAAGGAGCAAGCATGCTTCTTTAAATAAATAGTGAAAGAAGTGAACTAATTGTTTTCTTGTGCCCTGCTGCATGAGAAGAAACTGAGTTTGAGAATCTTACAAGGTGGTGTACCACTTCCTGTGGTACACCAGGAAGCTTTGTAACTTCTTGAACCCATTTTCCCGCCCATCATGGTCATTCTGAGGTTAAATGAGATATTAAAGTGCCTTAAATCTATTAGATAACTTAAGTCATTATGCATTTCAGCTGTCAACCATTATGGATTACAATAGTATTGTTAATTTTCACTTAGTTATATATTTTGATCAATATTTCAACTTCTTTGATGAATTAGCTGCTTTGATTTATAGAAAACAGGAAGTTTTGATAGTAGCTGGATTCCACATAGTCAGAAGTCCGTCTGGAATTCATTTATGGACTTTAATTATAAATTAAATAACTAAATATCGTCTGGACTTTTTTTCTTAATCTGGACAATGATTTTCTCAGGTGTTTCCTTTTTCCAGAACTGGGACCTAGGGACACTGTCAGTGAGAATGTAAAGTGGTAGACCCATTGTAGAGGGGAGTTTCATGTTGAATATCAGTATTTAAAATGTGTGTATTTGAGGCTGAAGAGATGGCTTAGTTGAGAGCAATGGCTGCTCTTCTAGAGATGAGACCCAGATTTGGTTCCCAGCACACATGTGGCAGCTCGCAATAGTATCTTAGTCCAGTTCCAGGAGATTGGACACTCTCTTCTAGGCTCTGAGCGCACTGCACACACATGGTGCACACACATATATGCAGGCAAAACACCCAAACACAGTAAATAAAAAATAAAATGTTCAAGTTTTTTATTGTGTTATTCTTTGCTCTAGTAATTCTATTTTTTGTTTGTTTGTTTGTTTTTTGAGACAGGGTTTCTCTGAGTAGCCCTGGTAACTCCCTCTGTAGACCAGGCAGGCTTCAAACTCAGAGATCCACTTGCTTCTGCCTCCTGAGTGCTGGGATCAACAGTGTGCACCACCACTGCCCAGCATAGTAATTTGTTTTTAAGAACCCATTCTATGGGAACCAAATGGCTAAAGGTGTTGGTGGTAATGGTTCTTGTAGTAGGAAAATTGGCAAATAGAATGTTTAGTTAGTGCCTGCTTACAAAGGCTATACACATACACATATATATTTTCATGTTTTTATGAGGAATGAAAAATTGTGTTTCTGAAGAGATATCTGTGTGATTTAAAATTCTTAACTGTAATTAAAAAATATAATATGAAATTTGCATGAACCATTTCTTTGTTTTGTTTTTTGAGACAGAGTCTCTGTATATAGCCTTGGTAGTCCTAGAAGTCACTATATAAACTAGGCGGCCCTTGAACTCACAGAGATCCTCCTGTCTCTGATTCCTGGGACTAAAGACATACACCACCACACCCAACAACCATTTCTTCTTAATATAATATTTTCATTAATTATTTGAGAATTTCTTTCATGCATACAGTGTATTTTGATAAATATCCTCTCCCCATTTTCCCTCTAATTCCTTCCAGGTCCAACCTTCACACCCTACCTCCTCCTAACTTTATGTCTTCTCTTAAAAATAATCCACTGAGTCTAATTTGTACCACCCATAAACTCAAGGGTAGTGGGCCCTGGACTGGAGCATGGTTGACTTATCAGGGACCACGCCCTTAATGAAAACTGAGACTTCTTCCCTCGGAAGCCATCAACTGTCAGTAGTGCCTTATCTAGGGGTGAGGCTTATGAGACCTTTCCCCTCCATGCTAGATTGATGACTGATTTGGTCCTGTGAAGGTTTTGTGCAGGCAACCACAGCTAATGTGAGTTCATAAATGTGGTGGTCTTGTCATGTCCAGAGGATACCATTTTGATTCAGTCCTTCCCAACTTGTAGCTCTTGTAATCTTCCTGTCCCCTCTTCCAAGAGTACCTGAGTCTTGGAGGTAAAGAGTATGATGTCCCATTGTGGCTGAGGATTCCATAGACACTTTTCTTTACATTTTGACCAGTTGTGATTTTCTGTTTAACCACCTACCACTGCACAGAGAATTCTCTGGTGTGGACTGGGTATAGAGATACAATTTAGAGGACAATTTGATACTATGTCCACTTAGCAAAATAATAATAATAATAATAATAATAATAATAATAATAATAATATGTTCACCCCAGAAGACTATGAACTCCTGGATCATGAGTTTTGGGCCAGATTTACAGGCTTGAGTTTCCTCCCATAGAATTGGCCTTAAATCCAACTGGAAAGTGGTTTGTTATCCCCATAACATATTACGTCCATGAATATACTTCAATATGCTGTCCATTATTGTAGCTCACAGGGTTTACAGCTGGCTAAGATTGTAGATGACTTTCTCCCTGAGAAGCTTACATGGCACCTTCTGGTACTGTGAAAGCAAATTAGTCAGGTGGAAGCCAGTACTAATTAATTTCTTGGTGTCCTGTGACCAGAGTGTGTGGTATCTGTTTCTAAGTATATATAGTTCAGTAATGTTAAGTACATTTACACTGTTATGTAGAGAATCTCTAGAACCTTTTATCTTGCAAAAAGAAAACACTGACATCAGCAGTCTGATTTCCTTTGTCTCCCACACATAGCCGTCACCCTTCTACTTTCTTCCATTTTCAGTTTTACTACCCACATGTATATCCATAAGTGAAATTAATTCTTTTGGGACTGGCTTATTTTAGTGTCCTTAATGATCATCCATGTTGTAGAATGAGTCAAAATTACTTTTCTTTTTTTTTTTTTTTTTTTTTTTTTTTTTTGGTTTTTCGAGACAGGGTTTCTCTGTGTAGCTTTGCGCCTCTCCTGGAACTCACTTGGTAGCCCAGGCTGGCCTCGAACTCACAGAGATCCGCCTGGCTCTGCCTCCCAAGTGCTGGGATTAAAGGCGTGCGCCACCACCGCCCGGCCAAAATTACTTTTCTAATGTTTTAAAATTAATTAACTGTGCAGTGCTAGGGATTGAATTCAAGGCAAGTAAGTATTATACCACTGGGCTATGTCCTTAGCCCCAGAATATCCTTTTAAAGTCTTTTCTCAGGCTGGAGAGTTGGCTCAGTGGTTAAGAACACTGGCTGTCTTCCAGAGGACCTGGGCTCAACTCTCAGTTCCCATGTGATGGCTCACAACGGTCATAACTCCAGTTTCAGGGGATCTGATTCCCTCTTCTGATTTCTTTTGCCACTACACACATGGTGCCCATACATGCAAATAAAACACCCACATACATAAAACTAAATTATTTTCTCCTTTTTATGTCTGTCCAGCCATCCATTCATGGACATGGACTGTTTTTCATGCTAGGCTTGTGCAGTGCTAGGGACTAAATTCAGGTCCTGCTGCATGCTAGACAAATACTCTACCTATCAACTACATCCCCAGCCCTGCTAGCAAGAGTGACATAGCAGTAGATGTGGGTGTGCAAATTCTTCTTTGAGAGCCTGTTTTTTGTTCTATATGTGTTTTGAGTTTCTAAGAACAGATCTAGAAAGCAGAAAGCAGGCTGAATGCTGGAGAAGGGGATTGGGGTGGGTGGTACTTTGACTTCTTTCATATACTTATATGTATAAGTATATTTATAGTACTACATTTATAGTAGGCATGAAGTTCTTTGTATGATTGGTAAACTATGACAAAACTAATTGTTATATATTCGGTTTGTGCAACATTTAGAAGTCAGAAGTCTCCTTACCACAGATCCCTTCAGCTGTTGTGAAAGACTGTAAATGGAATCTAAAGCGGAATTCCTTCCCTAAAAATGTTTTCCACGAATGTGCTAGGTAAGTGTTCTATGCTCGGCCTTGCCTATATTATGGGTGTTTGGGTTTGCTGAGACAGGTTCTTATATAGCCCAGGTGGGCCCCAAATTCACTTTGTAAGCTAAAGTTAGCCTTGAGGTTTTGATCCTTCTGGCCCTACTTGTGAAGTTCTAGGATAAGCATGTGTCATGTGCTATACATGGCTTGTGTGTATATTATCTATTGGTAACCTCAAGATAGAAGATGACAAAAAGTTTGTTTTAATTTTTTATTTTTATTTTATAGGAGTTGAATTTTTTTCCCTTTGAGACAGGGTTTTTCTGTGTAACAGTCCTGGCTGTCCTGGAACTTACTTTGTAGACCAGGCTGTCCTGGAACTCAGAGATCTGCCAAAAGGCTTCAGCCAACACCACCCAGCTTTTGAACTTTTGTTTTTAATTTTTTTTTTTTTAACAAGTTGAGTTCTTATTTGGATAGTTTTGCAGTTAGAATAGTCCCTTTCAGTAATTTTGTGTAGAAATGGTTAAGTGAAGAGTAATGATCACATGTACATAAATGTTATACTGAATGGTGTCCAGCCTCAATAGCACAGCATTTCTATGATAACCATGAGCCATCTTTCCTCCACATTCCAAAGTGCTTGTGTGGAGCTTGAAAGGGATCTAAAAATATTTTTCTAGACCTAAGCATTTGCTGAAAATGGTTTTTCTTTGGATTTTTGTAGTATGGACGGGGAAGTTTTTTTTTTGGTTTTTCGAGACAGGGTTTCTATGTGTAGCTTTGCACCTTTCCTGAAACTCACTTGGGAGTCCAGGCTGGTCTCGAACTCAAAGAGATCTGCCTGCCTCTGCCTCCCGAGTGCTGGGATTAAAGGCATGTGCCACCACTGCCCGGCGGGGAAGTTCTTAAGTACGACATTTTGACTAAGTTCAGCTTCCTTATGAACACAGGAAAAAAGTGGTTTCTGAGGAAATCTGGTAAAAGAAAGTGGTGTTTTGTGCAGCTGTGTGGATAGTCACTTGTCTCACAGAAAGGAAAGTAAGGCCCAGAGAAATGTGGAAAAGCTTGTCCTGAGCGCTGAGAATGTTTAAGTGCTATTTTCATTGTGGTTTGAAGATTGCTCTGGTCAGATGTGATTCATCACTGTACCTCCTGCATGCAGTGGGTAGTGGCAGAAGGATCACGGTCTGAGGTAGACTTTGACTACATACTGTCTCTTGGGGGCTAGAGAGATGGCTCAGCAGTTAAGAGCACTGGTTGCTCTTCCAGAGGACCTGTGTTCAATTTCCAGCATCCACATGGCAGCTCACAACGGTCTGTAACTTCAGTTCTAGGGCACCTAGCACCTTCACACAGACATAAATGCAGGAAAAACACCAATGCACATATAAATAAATAAATTTAAAAAAGGACCTTGTCTCCAAAAGAGCAAACAACAACAAAAACCAACAATACAGAACAGAAATGAAAAACAGAAACAGAAAACATATAAAATCTTGCTCCAGCTGCAATTTAGAGGGAGCTTGGAGGGAGGGAAAGTATATGCAAAAGCTGCCCTATATAGTTGGGTATTATCTGACCCACCAATCTATAAAGTAGGATATACACATCAATCCATTATCTTCTTTTTTTCTCTTCAAGACAGGGTTTCTCTGTGTAGCCCTGGCTGCCCTGAAACTCCAGGCTGACCTGGAACTCAGAAATCCACCTGCCTCTGCCTCCTGAGTGTCCATCACCACCGCCCACTCACAATCCATTATCAAGTGGAAGTGGTATATATGTGTTGGACCCAGGCAGGTCCTGAAGGCACAAGCATGCTATATGAAGAAGTTGTCCAAATGCCTATGGTTTCTATTTCCATCACAATACCATCTGCTCCCAAACATGCACCTTTAGCCTCATGTGGTATGCTCTATGATCAGTTGACTAAGGCCTGGTTTGCTAATGGCTCTGCATGTTATACAGGCATCACCCAAAGCTGTTTCTGAGACACCCATGAAAGATAGTGGCAAAGGGAAATCTTCCCAGTGGGCAGAACTTTGGGCAGTATCCATGGTCATGCATTTTGTTTGAAAGGAGATATGGCCATATGTGTAATTTATGGGCTGTAGCCAGTGGATTGACTGGATGGTCAGGGACTTGGATTTTTGAGCATGATTGGAAAAATGGTGAGAAAGACATTTGGGAAAAAGTATATGGATCTCTCCAGATGGGTTAAGGATATGAAGATACTGTGTCCCATATAAATGATCATCCAAAGATGACTTAAGCAGAGAAAGGGTTCAGTAATCAAGTAGACAGAATGGCCTATTGTGTGAACAGTCAGCCTCTTTCTCCAGCCATGCCTATCATTGCCTAAGAACAGAGTGGTCATAGTGGCAGAATGGAGGTTATGCATGGGCTTGACAACATGAACTTTCACTCACCAAATCTGACCTGGCCACAGCTGCTGCTCAGTGCCAGATTTGTCCGAGATATGACACCATTTCCAAGGGTGACTATTGGATACTTCCTCCATGGAAAGGATAATTTGTCCTTACTGGAGTGTTGTATATCTGGTGGGGGTTCACATGGGTCCGTGGAAAGAAGGCACAGAGGCACTCTAAGGATGAAATTTTTAGCCTTTCCAGCTGCAGATGGATCATCTCTCATGGGCTGACTCACTGTAGCTTAGCAAAAGGACCTTTTATGGTTATACAATTCACACCTTTAGCAAGTCAGTTCCATATACCAAAACCTTTATCTAAGCCCCCCAAAGGGACAATGCCTAATGTAAATTCTCAGTTGAAAGACATCCTGGTTTGCCTGGTCCTCTCTCAACCAAGTTTTGCATAGGCTCTGAACCCCTAGGAAACACTCAGATAAAGACTTCAAACAGAAGGTACCAGAGACAAAAGGTAGCAATCACAGACGGCAGATTAAAGCTAGGTGCTAACACTCCAGAATCAAACCAGCTGCAGAAATCTGCAGGAATTCTCCCAACATATCCCCCTTTTTTATATGCAACAATTAATTATATTGGAGATTATGTAGCTTTACAGCATATACAGCCTTTTCTCTTTCTGTTTATCAATCTTATGTAAGTAAGCCAAAAAACATTTTAAAGCCGATAAGGTTACTATTGCTAGCACAAGAGTAACACTTGCCTAACCAAGAAATCTATTCAAGTGATTTTACAGGGTTGAATGAGGCTATAGTATCTGCACGGCTTTCCATATCAGTTAACTTTTTTTGTGAAAGTTTCCTTAATTTTTTTACTGTAAATCATAAATCATTTGAGAAGAATTAGGGTGACCTTTCAAATGCATCTTAACCTTTTCCCAATCATACTTGCTTTTATTGAACTTTAAAGGTGTAATACAATAGGATGTAACATTCCAATCACATTTTAATTTTATCTGCTCCTTCAATATTTCTTTTTATTTACAAACTGTATGGCTTATGTCAGGCCTCTTGCTACCTAGCTCTTATATTTCAATATTTCTAACTGATCTCCTAACAATATAACAACTTGTCTCAAACCAGCTATTTCATTAAATATCTCACTATTTTATTTTGTTCAGTTCAAAGTTCTGTAGAATGTTTATGTCAGTCTCTAAATAACTCAGCAGTTTGAATTTCTTTATGAAGGGCCACTCTGGCTGTTGCAGTAGTAGCAGTCAATGCAATAATTCCCATAATAACTGCAGTAATCAATCCAACAATTTGACATGTTCTTCTTAATAGTCTTTTTGTTTGTTTGTTTTTTGAGACACGGTTTCTCTGTGTAGTTTTGGTGCCTGTCCTGAATCTCACTCTGTAGACCAGGCTGGCCTTGAACTCACAGAGATCCACCTGGCTCTGCCTCTCAAGTGCTGGGATTAAAGGTATGCGCCACCACTGCCCGGCTCTTCTTAATATTCGTTCAGTGAGCTTCTGTACCAAGATCATCACAGTGAGTTTTGCCATGGCCTTGACAACTTCACAGGTATCCAGATTGCTGGCCTTGTTTTAAGAATGTATAAACTTTCAGAAGTTAAGTTTAAAGACATACTAGCATTAATACAAGTATGAAGGGTACAGCATTCACAAGTGATGCTTTAATTTTTAGGGTGCCATTGTATGGGCCTCTTCAGTAGCAAGTAAGGCAATGGTACACACACCATAAAAGGATGGCTTTGATTTAGGCTAGAAGACCAAGTATACTTATCACCCTTAATGTTTAACTTACCTTCCCACGCTTTAAGAGGGTGGAAGACACTTGCTAATTTCTACAAGTTAATCTGAATTGAACTGCTAAATTGCAGGAAAGGACCTGACATTCCAACTCCATGCCATTGGATAGGATCATTAACAGAAGAACTAATTTCTACAGTTTCATTCAAACTATACCGCTTCCATCTTAACTCTGAGTGAGAATATTTTCCTTGAGGGGAGCCATAAGGGCTCTAATAAATTACGTCTCTGTAGGAGATATTAACACTCGAGGTTTCTCACTCTTACATTGTTGCCAGTGTACCTAGTCAGATTCCTTGATGGTAACCATCATCTCATAGAATGGTAGATTTATGGAACTAGCAGCATTAATCTCATGTCCTTTGAAACCAGATGCATGAAGCATATAAAAATTATTATGATAATCTTGGGTAGTATTGACTGTAAATAGCCACACTTGAAAGGTCATATCTAAACATTGAATTCCAATCCCCATACAAATAGGAATTCCTTGTACACTCACAGTATAATTTTTAATCTCTTTACCCTCCTCCATTGGCTGAGCAGGACTTTGGTTGTCATAAGGACCAGGTAGCCAAGAAGATTCATTAACCACCATAGGAATATCTGTATCTCCCCAACTTATGTTACATTAATTGGAGAATTAGGAATAAAGTCCCAGTAAGTATGATCAGTCCCTGTTACCTGTACAGTTATCACAGATAGCACGACAAGGAACAGATTTGTAGCATTTACAGGTCTTTGAGTCATTCGAATTATTGCCTCTTCTTTGTCACACGAATTCTTTTTTTTTTTTTTCCGAGACA